TCCCTGTGCTTTGCTAAGCTTGTTCCAAGTTGGTGCTTTAGACCACTGAGCCATCTCACCAGCCCTGTCTGTCTCTTCTGAGACAGGGTCTCACTGTGCAGCTCAGGCTGGTGTGAGCTCACTTTGTAGCCCAGGCTGGTCTCAAACTGTCAGTGATCCTTCTGCCTCAGCCTCCTGAGTACTGGGATTACAGGCGGCTCCATGCCTGGCTCTGAACCTCCATTTCTTATTCTGCAAAGCGGCTGTGTGGTGAGGTGTTCGAGTTCTCCGTGTCCTCCACGGTGCAGTCTGTGGTGCAAGCTGGGGAAGCCAAAGGGCTAAGTTATTGTCAGGGCGTGGTTGGGAGAACTCTAGAGTGAGGAGAGGATGGTGCCAGTGGAGCTGGGGGCCGGCAGGAGTAAAACAAATACTTTCAGGCTAGAGAAGAACTCTGGCAGAAGAACTGGGACCGTAAATGTGGAGGTGAAGGTGGCAGTGTGGGTGGACAGATCCCGCTTCCGGCCCTCGTCCTCCCTTACCTGTGTGCGTGCGCTCCCAGGTACCTGAGGCCTGCACCGTCACTGTGCGCATCCAGGCTGCGCATGGTGCTGAGCGTCGGTCCGCTGTGTGTCTCCTGCGCACACGAACGTGCCTGTGGCTCCATCTATCCCCGAGGCACCGGGGGATTCTAATAATAATGGATGAGAAGGGCCGGCCAGACAGCTCGGTGGTGTAGACCCTGTACTAAGTACAAAAACAAATAATAATAATGAATAAGAAAATTGGAAAGTTATTATAATATACTGTCATGAAAGTTGCTTAAAACTTATGAATGGTTGATTTTTGTAATGTTCCTGCAATATTTTTGGAATGTGGTTGACTGTGAGTAGCAGCAGTGGAAGGAAGTGGGGTCCCTACCTGGGAAGTGCAAGGTCCTGGGTTCGAGTCCTGATACCAAAGAAATAGTGGGCCCAGCTGTATACAGTGCCAGGCTCACTGCAGAGTTGGTCCACTTCGGGCTGGAACAGAGGTGGGCTGTGGCGCCTCTGGACACAGCCGTGGCAGGGCCCATCTCTCCCGGCTCAAGTGTTGACCAAGAGCCCTGAAGGATGTAATGCAGGAGAGAAGCAGGTGGTCACCCACCAGGGGCTGCGTGGCGCTGGCACGTCCTGCCTTCCCTTCCAGAGCCAGACGTCTTCCTCATCTTCAGCCACGGACTGCAGGGCTGCCTGGAGGCCCAGGGCACCCAGGTCCGAGTCACCCCAGCCTGCAACACCAGCCTCCCTGCCCAGCGCTGGAAGTGGGTCTCTCGGAACCGGCTCTTCAACCTGGGGACCACACAGTGCCTGGGAACAGGCTGGCCGGGCGTCAACACCACCGCCTCCCTCGGCGTGTACGAGTGTGACCGGGAGGTGCTGAATCTTCGCTGGCACTGTCGTACGCTGGGTGATCAGCTGTCCCTACTCCTGGGGGGCCGCGCTGGCAATGCATCCAAGTCTGGTCCCCTTGAGCGTGGGGACCACACCCGCAGTGGCCAGTGGCACATCTATGGTGGCGAGGAGGATCTTTGTGCTCGGCCCTACTATGGTGAGCACATGCTTGCAGGCCAGGGGCGTGGTGCTTGGTGTCAGGGCTGGAGCCGGGAGGTGGTCTCCTGGGGGAGGGGCCTTCGGTGTCCATGGGCCTTTTTCCAGTTAGACCTTTAATTGTAATAGGAAGCCTTTTTGAATAATTAGGAAAATTAACTTAAAAGCATTTACTTTTTGAAAATTTCAGAACAAATACATACTTACAAAAACTTCAGACAGTGCAAAAATGAATCTCCTAAAATTAAATAGAAATCCCCTTTTCTCCAGCCTGCACTGGAGGAGACTCCCACAGTGACCCCCACACATTTTGCAGGTGGTGAATGGGCCGGGAGTCATCAGGGATTTCTTCCTGGAAGCTGCCCGAGTTCTGTGATAGAATTTTCAGGGCAGGGTAGAGCCCAGTGGGTAGCCAAGCAGCATTGCTTAGGCTCAGCCCTCTGGGAACGTCTAGGACCCCTCACCCAGCTGGACTTTGGACGAGGGAAGTTAGGGAGCTTCTTCCCGCCCCCATGGGGGTGCAGTGGCTCTTCCAAGCCCCAGTCTGCCACCATTGTCCCCTGTGGTCCTCTGCTGACTCCAGCTTTCCCTGAGGGGTTGGGGGGTCAGTCTGAGGGCCCGGATGCCGGAACCGCTATTGGTGTCTGCAGAGATCTACACCATCCAGGGCAACTCCCACGGGAGGCCATGCACCATCCCCTTCAAGTACGACAACCAGTGGTTCCACGGCTGCACCAGCACGGGCCGCGAGGATGGGCACCTGTGGTGCGCCACCACCCAGGACTATGGGAAGGATGAGCGCTGGGGCTTCTGCCCCGTCAAGAGTGAGCGTGGGCGTGTGGGACGCAGCTGGGACCTGGGGCCGGTGTGGGCTGGGGAGGGACTGCCGTCCTTCTGCCCTGGTAACAGGTAGCGACTGTGAGACCTTCTGGGACAAGGACCAGCTGACTGACAGCTGCTACCAGTTCAACTTCCAGTCCACGCTGTCCTGGAGGGAGGCCTGGGCCAGCTGCGAGCAGCAAGGGGCGGACCTGCTGAGCATCACGGAAATGCACGAGCAGACCTACATCAACGGTGAGGCCGGGCAGGAGGGGCCTGCGGGCTGCGGGCGGGTGGGCGAGCGGGGCGCCCTTCGCTGCCTTTCGCCGCCAGGGCTCCTCACTGGCTACAGCTCCACGCTGTGGATCGGCCTGAACGACCTGGACAGCAGTGGGGGCTGGCAGTGGTCGGACAGCTCGCCGCTCAAGTTCCTCAACTGGGAGAGTGGTGAGAGAGGGGCTGGGGCGCAGAGACCTTCAGGCTGCACGGCCTCCTCCCGCCGGCGTGGGGAAAGCGGGTTCCTGGCCGGGGGGCCCCAACACAAGCACTGCCAGTGAGAATCAGAAACCGAGCCCAGGCCGGCAGGGTCTGCCCTAGCCCCGGGGGTCGGCGTGAGAGTGGGGGGCCTCTGCCTGCGAGGAGGTGCACGGTAAACTTGGGGGCGGGGCCCAGCCAGCTCCGGGGCAGCTGGGGCTTCAGAACAGGGCAGGGCCAGGCCAGGAGGCGCAGGACAGCCGGCCTTGGGCAC